CCAACCAAACCAGCATGGCCATTTTCCACAAGCCTTAACCGTGTAAATGTGGTACATAGTAGCATCTTGCCAGCTGCTCTTTGCTGACTACTGAGAACTTCCAGTGAGTAATATTGACTCTTATTTCCGGGATATAAATAAAATAAATGAATAAAAAATAATAAAATCCCCCAACCAGCATGGCCATTCTCCACAAGCCTTAACCGCGTAAATGTGGTACATAGTAGCATCTTGCCAGCTGCTCTTTGCTGACTACTGAGAACTTCCAGTGAGTAATATTGAGCTTCCTCTTATTTCAGCAGTTGGGCCACAGCTTTTGCTCTGCTATATTAAGATCTTAGGTTGTCGCATTGCTTAGTACATTGGGCCCTGACAAGGCTACCATATGTTTACACAGCTGGCCAGTTTCTACCCAGAATCTAAACATGCCCGTTTGCACCTTATCGTGCTCCAGATTCACAGCTGGCAGAAAAGAAATTGCAGAAACAACCAGCCAAGGTCAATGTCCTTGCAAGAAAAAGGTAAGCTAGAATATTTTCTAGTGATGATATTTCATCAATTGTTCAAGAAAATCAGATCCTGATTTTTTCCCCTGTTGTTTGACCTAATCCTAGTCTGATTGATTGATTGACTGACTGACTGATTGATTGATTGATTGATTGATATCCTGTCCATCTGGTATATTCTACCGCTCTGGGTGGCTTACAACATGACGAGTTAGCTGACAGGGTCTCTCTTGTGGGGCCTCCCTGTGGTCTTCTCACAGAACTGTAGTCTTTTGCCATCAATTAAAAAAATGAATGGCAAAAAATATTGGACACGTGTGTCACAAAATATCATTTTCATTGTGATTGCTTCATTTTGCTTCTGGTGTTGTTACTGTTTCTCCTTCATCTATACCGGACCAATAATATGCATGTCTGTTTTACATGGTTCTTTTGCCCTCATTTACCCTCTCAAGAGCCCAGACAGGTTATTTGGGCTGATGTTGTGACTGGTTCAAGGTCACTCATTAAGCTTTGTGACTGAAGACCTCATAGATGAGATGTTAACTCTGAAATTAGAAGCATTGTATTCTTAAAAGGAAATAATTATTTATTCTAACACGAACCAGTCTTAACATGCATTTGGCAAATGAGCTTGCTTTTCTTTTGTAATTGGTCAACTGGGAGATAACAGGGCTTTGTTTACATGGCTGATATCTCAGGCTCAGAGCATTGGAAAAGAAGGAAGCAGGCTTTTATCTTAATATATGATCTGCCACTGAGAAGGGATTTGAACTTGGGTCTCCTTGTTTTGAATCTAACTCTTCAACCATAGCAGTATACCAGCTTTCTGAGACTGCTGTTATGTCAATGAAACTTTGCCGCAGGAAATCAAGGAACAAAATTTCATTTGCATATCATGGAAAATTTTATTTAAAGTAATTAGTGGCCTGTTGTTTAATGTAATAAGTCACACTTGAGCAAGTCCACTGAATCAGTGGGTATTTGATGAGTCAACGCATCATAAGTTCCTTTGATTCAAATAAGCCTATCCTAGTTGCAACTGACAAAACTAAAGTAAACTACTTGAGTAGGCCCTTTTGAATTAATGAAACTAAGAAGAGTTGACACACCAAATCCCATTGATCCAATGGGCCTACCCTAGTGTGACTTACTACACTAAACAGAATTTAAGTCAGTATCTGTATGCTATTTTTCCCCGCTACTACATCCATTTTTGTAGACATTTGTCTAATTGTACCGCAGAAGCCTGTGCTGCAGGGTCAAAAGACCAAACAGTCATAAGATCGAATCCATGCAACGGAGTGAGCTCCCGTCACTTGTCCCAGCTCCCAACAACCTAGCGGTTCAAAAGCATGTAAATGCGAGTAGATCAATAGGAACCACTTTGGTGGGAAGGTAACAGCATTCCGTGTCTAAGTCGCACTGGCTATGTGACCACGGAAGATTGTCTTCGGACAAACGCTGGCTTGGAAACGGGGATGAGCACCGCCCCCTAGAGTCGAACATGACTGGACAAAACATGTCAAGAGGAACCTTTACCTTTACTCATTTTCTGTGCACATTTTCTCATCAGAGAACTGCATTACAGAAGTGAAGCAAGTGCCAGTACTGCAGGATGACCGAGCTTTGGTTAGCGTATTGGGTCAACAAGAGCAAATTATGTCAGTTCGCATTAAAATGTACCCTGAGTAAATGTCTCTCCCTTTTTTTCAGGAAGCAGTGTCTTTCCTGCCATGCTAGACTGCAACATGGCAAACCACTGCAAGTGTGACGAAGGAAGGCACTAGTGGGAAATGAATCACAGGAAAGATAACCTTTGAGTCAATAAATGTTGACCTTGGCTGTATTTTAGTCTGTGCATTGTGCTGTATCTTCCTCTGGAGCTACAAGAGCTCTGTCTCCTCTACTGGAGGAAAGAATTTCATTCTCTGAAATAATTGATCTTATATCTCAAGAAACCAGAGGAGCTGTGTTTTATCCTACAAGTGTTTAAGCTATACACACCAGTGGAGTTTAAGGTGTGTTTTCTAAACTTATGGGAAAGAATGGGGTAAAACCATTATAATGCATTGTAACAGCAAAGTGTGCTGTTTGTATACCACTCCATAATGTTTAAAACACTCCGGACAGCTTACAAATTAATTATGCAGAATATACATTCTCTTCCCCCCCCCCCAAAGCTGTGTACTCAGTTTACGGACCTTGGAAGTATAGAAGATTGAGTCAACCTTGTGGCACCTACCTCAGATTCAGTGTATTACAGTCCTAAAAGTAATTCCTTACATCTTTCTACATAACACATTTACATTATAGACAGCAAGAGTGGCTCTGGAGTTTACGGATGGACAACTGTTCACACATAACCCAAAATGAGGAACATAAATAGGATTTTTAAAAGGAAACATATGTTCACAATATTTGCATGTCCTGATGTAAAACCCATCAAACAGTGGACACATTCAAACAGAAAATTATGCTCTGATATCCCTTTTCAAACCAAAAACTGCCATGTATAACGAAGGACACAGCTCCACTCTAGTTTATTTTGTGTAAAGCCCTAGACATCACAAGCAAATCAGCAGTAGATATGAAAATGTATAATTTTCTTTAGCGGAAGTTTCTAGAAGACACCATGGGATGAGACAGTGTATTCTCTGCTGCTCCTTCCAACTCTTTGATTGTTTGAGTCTAAATTTTAAATCTCTAGGCACAATTCGGGATTGCCATTTTTAAAAGAGGAGTTTCTCTTCTTGCACAGCAGTAGTTAATATTGTGTTTGGTTATCACGTAAGCCTCTATTTTGAGAGGCTTATCCTTCAGCCACACAGCACTGCTCTAGCTGCAGCTCAACGTAATCTCCCATCCCTCGAGAATTGCGTTGATCTTGCTGTTGGGCAGCCAGAAGAAAGTAAGATAAATACGGAAGGCAGATTAATTTTTATTAGAAGCCACTGCATTTTTCCAACTGGTGAAAATGTAACCTAATCTCTTGTAATGAAATTTTAGAATAGATGTTTAGGAAACTTAAACATCTGAGAAGTAACACATGTGCAAAAGAGAAGATGCCAGGATGTGAATTCCAGTATCCATTCACTTTGGTTAAAGATGCAACAATGTCGACAACTGAAAACAAAACCAGAATCTGACTACCATTCACTTTGGTTAAAGATGCAACAATGAACAAAACCAGAATCTGACCTTTGATGTATAGGAAAGTGTTAGCCTTGCTCACACATCCTCAAGATTGGCAAAAGGAACGAATTAAGGTTCTCTCTGGACCAACCTGCTGTCAAAAGTAGATGAGAAGATTCAGGGCTAAAATATTCAGACTCTTCATCCCAGTTCTGATGAACTTGCCTTTCCTGGACTTAGGAGTTAAAATGGCTCCTTGCTATTTCTGATATGTTTTCGCTCTGCTTAAAGTATACAACTGCTTTCATTAGAAATATTTAAGAGGCTCCTGCCAATTTTCTGTTGGATACCTCATGCCAACAGAAAGAAAACACAAATTCTGAAATAACTTGATCCTATCTGTCATATACAAAAGAAAACCATATTTTAAGAAAACCACTATGAGCAGCACATTATTCTGACTCTTGTTCTACCAGCAAGGGAAAAGAAACAAAAAATTTGCTAACCATTTCCACAGGCAGAAGTGTGAATGTGTAGAACCTAGGCAGCTCATCTGAAAATTAATTCCATTTCTACAAATCAAACCATAAAGCATCTTCCAAACTCTCATTTGCAGCTGATCACTAATGTGATGGTGAAAGAAGTCTCAATCAGTGAGGCTTTCTAAATCATTCCCAATTTTGGGCTGTATAGGCTGACTTGGGTTCTTTTTAAGGAGAGAGGTGGGATATAAACAAACAAACAAACAAACAAATATATAGTGTCACATTTCATTACATAGTGGTTTGCCACATCTAGAGGCAATGTACTGGCCTTTGTAGAGTCTCCTTTGGTTTTGTAGAATATCATTTAAGATTGTGACGAACAATACATTTGCAAACTGTGAACATAATGCCAATGTATAGCACCTAAAATTTAAACACCTCCAAGTGCGTTTGGTTTCCAAGGGAGAGATTTAAATTATTTTACCTTACCTACTGAATTCAATGGGACCTAAAAATTGGTGGGTTACGTTTAGAATATTTAATTTATTTATTTATTGCATTTATATGCTGCCCATCTAGACATAGTCTACTCTGGGCGGCATATAAATGCCAGAGTATTTAAAATTCTCACAACTATTGAAAAGCTCTTTTCATGTGTTCTACTGCATGTTTTTTTTTCCCTTTCCAATTCTGCAACTTAATTTCGGTTGCAAGTGAAAGAGAGGCAAGTTCTTATATTGATTCTTATCTCACCAGAGATAAATATATTTGGATCAACCTATACCTCTGCCGTTATGCTTGAGAACCAGTCAAAGAGGTCAGTTTTTGTGGTTTAATTGGTTCCCAAGTGTCATGATATTTAACTACATCCCCACAGGAACCTCTCAGAGTTATGGTGAAACATTTTAGTGATTTCCTTAATTTACTTGTAGTTTCACTCCAGAATCAAAGGTGGAGTCTAGGAGAAAATGAACTGGTATTTAAGAGCATAGTCTCTGAAGGTTTGAAACCTTTAGCTTTGGATAAATACACTGGATAAAGCTGATTGTTGCTGAAATCTCTTCAGAAAAAATGGGATGTTTTTGCCTATACAGAAATTGCACAGCATTTTGTAGCTCAAAATGCCACTTGACATTCTATCAAGCTGTCATTTACTACTGAAACAGTTAAAGTGCACCTCTGATATAGTAAAACTACATTGCACAAACTATTTCTGACAGGAGGGAAGAGTAAATATATATATAACTTTTTAACAGGTTCTTGGATCAGGAGCATATTTGCCAAAGTGATTGCGTACAAATTTGTGACAAATTTGGAGAAGGTTGGACAAGTACTTTTAAAGCTTTTAAAGAGTTCTGATTTTACAAATCATTTTTCCTCCGCCCCTTAATACATTTTGCTGCCATTTTCTGTCAGTCCATAACCAATTTAATAGTTATTTTTCAAATGCCTACCACTGCTTCCTCAAAAAAGAAATAATGTCTGCTGCATTTTTAATAGACTTGATCCCTCATGTTGTTAAGGCAAAAGAGCACACAGGAGGGAAAAGCCACAGGGAGAGAAGAGAGAAGAGAAGAAGAGAGAAGAGAGAGAAGAAAAGCAAGAAAATAGAGAGAGAAGTTAGAGACAGATGGAGGGAGGCAGAGAGGGGCAGACAGGAGTCTGTGAGATACAGAGAGAGAAGGGACAGCACAAAATAAGTGAGAGAGGAGTTTACAAGAGTTAAGAACCAGAGAAAGCGAGGCAGAGAGAAGGGAAAAGAGAAGGAATAGGAGTAAGAATGAGAGAGGAGTAAGTAAATGGAGGCAAGAGCAGAAAGAAAGGAAGGAAGGAAGGAAGGAAGGAAGGAAGGAAGGAAAGAAAGAAAGAAAGAAAGAAAGAAAGAAAGAAAGAAAGAAAGAAAGAAAGAAAGAAAGAAAGAAAGAAAGAAGCCACAGAACAAAAGAGAACAGAGCTGGGGAAGTCATGGAGAGATAAGAGAGAGAAGGAGGTGCCATGGAGAGAGAGAGGGAGAGAAGAGGAGACACAAAGAGAGAGAAAGAGAGGGAGAAGAGGGATAGAGAAAACCCATTGAAAGAAGGATGAGGAAAGAGACAGAAGAAGGAGCCAGAAAGGAAGCAAGCAGTAGATGGCTAAAACACATATTGAAAAGCAGCCACGGCAATAGCTGTCATGGTTTAGGTTATTGAAGCTAGAATGTAATTTCTAAATGGGATTTGTAGTCATGGAATGGTGTAGAAGGAATCCATCTTAGTCTGTGTGTCATGTAACTAGATGCTTCAAAAAGCTGTTTTTTCTTAGAGCTAGTTGGAATTTTCCATGTAGCAGCCTTGGCCAGAGACGATAAGGACCAAAGACATAACATCGAGGAGGAATGTCAACAACACCTGCAATCCCACGAGAAAAGGAGGTGGAGAGAGATGAGCAGTCCTTCATCCTGATTGGTTTACATCAGTGGAGAGTGAAGAAGGAGGGTGTTCCAGCATGAGAAGAAAATAGAGAGATGCTGACACAGAGAGACCCTTTTGAGCCTTTTTGATTTTTGGATTTTACCTTGGATTATGGATTTTTAAATGGACTATGGAGTTCCCATTGCTATAGCTAGGATGTAGTTCATAGCAGAGCATAGAGAAAGGGGGACTCAGCCTTACCCACCTTTCAAGCTAGTAGAGTTTTCTTGTTTTATTTTTATAGCTGAGATTTGCTGTGTTTCTAACTACCTTAGTTAATGGAAATGTCTTTGAAATGCTATGCTTTGCAACAAACTGAATATATCAAAGTCTTTATTTTTCTAATAAAACAATAATACTTAAAAACTTATGTTTGGTCTTTTGAGCAGACAACCTGCTTAATTACTTAATTCTATTTAGGCCACAAATATGCTACTGAGTCCAATTAATTACCTGAGTTTTGCTGGTCTTGGCAGACTCTGAGACTCATGGTTTTATCTTTGGTTTTCTCAGTTTAACATAAAATGGAAATAGACTTGGGAAAAGAGTGCCAGGTGTGACAGTCTAGTTGAGAAAAAGGACTCATCTCAACTTAAATAAGGGTACACTGGACTCTAGAACCTCTCTATTCCAAGCACCAGCATTCTCTTAGGAGAGCTGAGTGCTTACAATAGCTTTGTGTTTGAGTGTGCAGTTCTGAAAAAAGGAGTCAGATTCTGGGTTTTTCCTTTGCTTGGTGTCTGTGAATCATATTGAACACAAAGGGGGGATCTTGCAGA